CATTTATGAAATGGCGACTACCTACTTTCCATTATTCAATGAGAAGAATTAAACAATGCCAAGGATGGAAGGTTTAAATATTCATAAAAATATATTTATTAAAAATATACGTACAATGCATCGCAAAAATAATGGGTCATAAAAATTACTATACCCAAAGTAGTTGTTTAAATAGATCGCTCGTATAAATAGAAAGGTTGTAGGTAGATTATTAATGCTTATTATAATAATCTGAAAAGATGGATTATAACGACAAATTACAGCTTAAATAATAGGTTTAGAGACTATTTGTCTTAATAATGAAATTCAAAATTAAAACAAGATATTTTTCCGTTATTGTTTTAAACCAAGCTGACTTTATTAGTGCAGCATCATGTCGCTATCACCTGAAGAATGTACCCCGGTTATTATTAAAATGCAAGAAGAAGAAGTCACCGTGGTATTGTTAGAACAGTAGGAGTTTTTTTATCTACTGTCCATATACCATACTAGGTAATAGAAGGCCAATATGCACAACTATACGAAAAGACCGATTCGTGAGCATTATGCTAAGACATTTCACGGCTTTTGAGGTCTGAAACAGGAATTCACCACATCTATGTAAGCTCTTTGTTAGATGAAGACTTTGCTAAGCTAATATAAAGCGTTAAAGCAAAAAGCCCTAAACTTCTAAGAGAACATCGCGTTGCCAGTTTACGGTCTGCTCGAGAGCACGTCCACGTGAAAATTGCTCCAAGGTTATGTTTTTCGATGAGTCCAGATTTTGTTAATTTACACGCAATAGAAGACGAAGACTGTATAAACCTGGAAAACGGTTTCACGGAGCAAGTATTGAACTAAAGGTGCCACTCGGTGAAAGATCAATTGTGGTGTGAGTACAATGTTGGTGGTGATAGTCACCAATGATAATACAAAGAGATAGTATTGATGTTCAAAAATCATCATAATACTGCTAACATAGAAATGCGCAACTTACTAATCTTACATTCCTAAATCGGTTCTATAATTTAAATCCTATATCCAAAAGGATTTTATCATGACGAGTGCAATACGTTTAAAATATTCGAATTTTTATGAGAACAAAACCATTTCGAACAACTCTGTTGACCTAATTAATGGCCGTTTGAATCATAGTTTAGCGAAGTAATCAGATTTTTTTTATATGAAAAGTTGCCAAACGAGCAGACGGTTCACGTGATGTTAAGCGAATACCGCCAGCCATGGACATCTGCTACACTCGAGGGTTCCAGATCTGTTGACAACCTTTTGGAAATTGGGCTCTGGCCACCTCACTCACCAAACGAAACGCGAAAGTATTATAGGTACTTCCACTTTACGCCGGTCTTCTGTGAGGTCGTGATACTAACCCGTACGAGCCTGCCCATTCGTGCAACAGCCGAGGCTGCTGCGTGGCCCTACCACCCTATAATTCTTACAATTTTGACATATAGAAGTGTGTTAAATCTATGCTTGATATCGACTTTCCGTTTCTCTCACCAGCTCGACATTTCATGTTGGCAACAAACTACGCTGTGTTTATTGGAGCCTCTGCTTTTTAATCTGCGTCAAAAGTGGCACGTACGGGAATTGTCTTAATTGGGACTTTAGTCAATTGCGAATCAACCGACAACTGGATTATATGGGGATGAGTCATAAAACATTCGCTACCCGTAGCGAGGAAGAAAACCAAATAATCTTCTTGCTGTTATAGACTATTTCGATAAGAAAAAAAAAATATGCGTGTATTTATTTACGCACGTAATAAGTTATACATACTTCTTTAGCGTAACAAAAGGAAAACAACTCTTTGTGAAAAAGACATTAGTTAAATGCAATCGCTAACAGTGTAATTAAATAAATTACTTGGAATTATAGGTAAATGTCAAAAGCTGTTATTGGTTGCCATACGGTGAAGTTAGTTGCTTTGCAACCAACTTTAACAGTCATAAAAATTTTGCTCTCATATTGTTTTCCAAATGCGCCATAAGAAATATACTTCAACAAGAATGTTTACCCCTTTGGAAAAAACACCCAGATCCAAAACAGTTATTTGTGAGTCACACAAATACATCCCTTGAGGGTAATCACCAACGAACCCTAGCACCGAAGCCGATAGCATTACAATTGCGCCAATCATCGGAAAAAATATTGTGTTTGTCTTAAAATGTAACCTTTACGCAATTATATCTTTTCTTATTTTATATTTAAGTAAGTATCTGAGAGCCGTGACTGCTCAGTGTCTACTTACTATTTTCATTTATCTATTTTTTAAGTTCCTATTTTTCGTTCACCGTGTGGGCTCCGCGATATCATTACATTTTTAAAAGAGTGAAAAAATAGTTTATGGGCTTTCAAACTTTCAAATAATTTAAACGAAGAATCGTTTTTATACGTAAACGTAGTGATTACATTCTCTTTGGTTTTTATATCAAGTCATAATACATCCAATCGTAAAATGTTGCAAATTAATATGATCTTTTTCAGATTTTGTATTTGTGCTATAAACCTTAAGTCTTGTACATTAAATTTTTTTAAAGATTTAGGTACTTCCTAGAATTATCGCTGCGGCTGGTGACAAATGTTGGTTCTCTTCTCACTCAAAATCCAAGCATACGGCTTATTATTAAAACGAAGAAATGTAGCTAGCGTTCTAGGTATATACCAGTTAATTACCTACTTTTCAATATTGTAGATACTTTTGTTCAATAAATTTAATTAATAATTATTAATTAATATGTAATAATTATATTTAACAATCATAAGATAACTGATATTATATAACTAACCTATATACGGTTTCGCAGAAATGTAAGAAATATTATTTTTCTCAAATTTCGCTATATCTAAATATAATTTTCAATCGATTCCCTTTATTATGCTTAAATCAGTTGTCTGCAAAACGATACGAAATGCAGACAGTTATAGCGCGTCTCCGTGCCTACCTCAAGATCTACCACGAGGTCATCGTTGAAGGAAAAGTATTTTAATTACTACGTAATTGATGGATTTTTATAGTTGCCGTATAGTAGTTACGAACAACGTCGTCAAGTCTATCTCATGTGAGATTATTTAACTCGCACTCACATTTAATTGCAATGAAATATGACTGCGAGTTAATCTTCCCCTTTTCCAGTTACACAAGGCCTTGTATATGATAGTAATTAAATTCCCCCTGATTTGATTGATTATTATTATGTTTTTTAATAAATCTTTCTCGAAAATTCTTTACAATGCTAAAATGTAAACTATATAAACCAATATCTATTCACGTGGTAGCCATTCTGGGGTCTACTTCGGAGGCAATAATGAATATGCGCTAAATATCTTTTATTAAAATTTTCCTATTCATCCAATCTCATTTCGTAATAGCCGCCTATAAGCGATCACTTCGTTCATCAATTAAAATCAATCATTTTCAAATCACTAAATAAAAAATAATCGCGCGAAAATTTTCCCGACCCTGATCTGCTGCGGCTGGTCTATAATAATTTAATCGTTTAAATTCCTGTGTCGTCTGGCTAAAATATAGAACGTGATTAGTTTGTAAAACTTTAGTTTCCTAAACTGTTTGTAAAACTGTACTGCCAGTACTTTTGCGTATACCGTACTGCGATCATCCGATGAATAGTCACTTTTAAAATGTACCTAACCGTCAATTTAAAAGTTCGCCTTCGCAAAGTATCAACTTCAATCAGCTCTACAAAACAAGCGTTTAAGAGCATTCGCTCAGAATTGAATGCTGATAAACTATTTAAATAAAAGCGTAAAATATGCACTTGCTTTCGGTACAATATGCACTAAACGTTCCATAATCAGATCAAACGACAGCTACATAGTCTTGTATGATACATGTAAAATAAGATTAAGAGCAGTCGCATTTAATAATATGTTATATCTAAAGTTTCACTTAAACGTATAACTTCGCAAATAAGCTTGAAGCTTGACCTCTGTGACAATTGAGGCACGAGGGAAGTAATCCGAGCTGATCATGTAATAGTGAATATCGATTCAATTGCTCCTTTATAAATGGGATTACATTTTAAACATGAAGTTAAAAAAAATAACCGATTTCAAATATGTATCAAACTTACTTTATATGTTCTATTTAATTTTGAAGAGTTACTGTTGTATCTCCAGAGTCCAAGCTTCAATATCTATGATATTTATAAATGGTGGTCCAATATCATAGGAGATAAATGGAAGCTAAACCAAACACAGTACAAAAACAATTTTTAAAATTGCTCACTCAATTACCGAGTTCTTAGGTAACAAACATTAAAAAAACCATTGTACCGAATTTAGAACCTCCTTACTTTTTAGAAATCGGTTGAAAAATTGTGATATACAAACAGCCTCGTAGATTTATATTCGGTTTATGATCGTCGCCACGATTCGTCGTCTGTATTTATGTACAGATTAAAGATGGTTTTCTTTAGCACAAAAAGATGTTATTTTTAAGATAGTTGGATATGGTCGCAATGTAGCAAATGGCAGTGGAAATCTTAGCTACAAGTTAGAAGGGTCGCTTTGGCAAGCGAGCAGTCGGTTCACCTGATGTTCTGTGATTGCCGCCACCCATCACAATAACTGCAGGGTTGCGTAGCGTTGCAAGGCATTAATATGGTGTTTTCTGTTTGTCCACCATAAGAAAATAAATCATAAATACTTTTCACCGATCTTCACAATCCGTCCCCAGAGGTGCCACCATTTTTACGCAAGAGTTAGCTGTCCCAAAAACTCTATAATAATGATGTCTTTAGTTTTATGTAGTTCATCGTAGTAATTATTTAAATTACCGTTTTTGCAAAAAATGAAACTAGAACGCAATTACTATTAGGAATTATAATTGGATATAATTTCGCGTACACAAGAAAATAACTTCAATTAATTCTTTATCATTTTCAATGCATTATACGTCTATACAGGAAGACACGAACTTAATCAAGACCATATTGATTTTTTACTATCCGACACATTTATTTGGATTTATAATTACTTACATCGGAGTTCCTAATTTCGCAAAACCCTGGACACAGAGCACTTATCACGAACGAACTCAGTATATATTAAAATTAATGTCCGCTATTCACATAATTTTTAAAATTCAATAGCAGCAACTAAAGGATTGCGGGAATATCGAGTGAGAAGCGAGGATCGGAATACACAAACACAACACGCCCGCGTCGCACGAACACTTACGCCGGTTTGGCGCCGACCGCTTGCGACGCGCCAATGGCAAGCGTCGATTTTTTTTTTTATGGCAAGCGTTGAGCGCGCACATTCGATTACTGATTAGGGCGCGAGGAAAATGACGTAAATCACAGTTTATTAAAAAGTATCCTTTATTAAGATTAAATATATAATAATATATTGGTATAAAAATTTAAATGTTTTAATTATAAATAAAAATACGATTAGTTTTAAATCATTTATTGTTCACAAACTCAATAAGTATTTTCACACAATTTATGATACAAAAATAACAATTTCGTTTATATATTAACAAATATTAAAAAAATAGGGACGACCTGAAAGCTTCAATGAATTAATACAACATAGATGGATTAATTTATAGCTTGTTACTCACTTAATTTTTAATATCTACGTTTTACACTTGGAATAATTAGATATTACTTACTATAAATTTAAAGAGAAACTTTATCACTTCCATATAACCACTCTATCTTAAAATGCACTGTTGTCAGCTTTAGCTGCAACAAGGTTTGCTTAAACCTAATGGCAGCGAGCAAGACTTAAAACTATGTCAGTCTCAATGATCAACATCGAATGGTGAGATATTTTAATTTTGGGCGGTCCCATATGCCGACAAAATTGTGGTGTTACTACATATTAACTTTAAAAAAAAAACTAAGAAATTATTGGTCATAATTGACCAATAATTTCTTGTATTTACGCGATTACACATTATAAATAACTAATTTTACGGATTTATCGCGTTTATTTTTAATTTTAATTCCCGACGTTTTAAAATTACGAATTAAAATTAAAAATAGACGCGATAAATCCGTAAAATTAGTTTCATTTATAATTATGATCAAGTTTATATATTTCAAAATTCATTTGGTATTAGTCTAAATAATAGTTTTTATTCATTGACATAAAGCAACAGCTAACGCAGAACGCTTATCAATAAAATGAGTCTAATCTGTCGAGAGGTCAGCTCGTCCCTTGTGCCTCTTAATGGATTGCAAGCAGTGTTCCAGGTCGCGGGAGGGCTCGGGGCGCCGCCGCGGCGTGGGTCAGCGGGCGGGCGAGGCGGGCCGCTGGCACAGCTCGTCGTGCACGTGCTCGTAGGCCAGCTTGAGCGCGTAGAGGGCGCGCGCCTCCTTCAGCAGCGGCGCCAGCTTCGGGCCCGCCAGCAGCGCCGGCAGCGGGGGCAGCCACTGCCGCACATCGCCGCCTGCTCGCCCATACCATTTACGATCATACGATAAGAGCGGCGTCGCACGTACAGCACGCTTTATAATCGAAGGCGGACCTGAGCAATTTACTTAAAGTTGTGCTTAGCTGTACGCCCATGAACGTTTACCACACCCCAAGAGTTACAAATGGGTTACCTTTAAAAAAAAAGGGGCTCTGGATTAAATGACCTCTTTCACCAGACGAAATGCAAAAGTATAACTCTTTCACCTCACACCAGTTTTCTGTTAGGCCGTAGTACTTCACTGGACAGACCTACTCATTCGTGAACAGCGGAGACTGTCTACGCACTTAATCTGGCATTTAATATCTCATGTCCCATTAGTTGGTTTCATTGTGGTAGGGCTGATACTGTCACTTTTTGAGGGAGGCAGCTGGTGTTCATTTAGTCTAGTCGGCCTGGTACACGCACCCATGAGGTGCACGAGCTCGGCCAGGCGGTAGAGCAGCGACTCGCGCGGCGCCTCGGCCGCCTCCGCCCAGCGCTCGCGGGCCGCACACGCGTCCCACACCTGGTCACAGGAAAGCATTATATTATACAGTCTTAGCATTATCGAAACGACTCCAGTGACACGCCACTATTTATTTATTATTTATTATTTATTTACTTAAAAGTAACAACTTCATTGGTGCTGACACTGGGATTTGAATTCAGGTGCTTCAAGTATAATTTATTAAAAGCAGATGCACTGAATAATCATTAAATTCTGATGAATATTTCAAGAAATTGATATTTCAAGACTAAGATGAAATATAAATCAATACTTTTAATGAATATATTACTTTCTTATATTTACATTAATACATGGCTAAAAATAAGTTATGTGTTTAATTTCCAGTTTAACAAACTAGTTAAAAATCAGAAGTAAACACCATAAAATTCGTAAAATAGTTCTTTACTAAATTATAAAAACTTCTATGTGAATATGCAATGTCCAATATGCAATGTTCCTGTTTTTTAATTAACACCCCCTTGCTCTTTGAATTACACAAAGTGCATGTATATCCTTATAATAACAATATAGTCAATACCTGCAATTTTAGGTCTTCGCGTTCTTCCAGGTCTTCAACCATTTCCGTGAGATCCAATGCCTTTTTGTAGTCATATTCCGTTAAAGGTTCACTCTCCGAATCAATGTACAGCTACAACAATAAGCAGATTTTTTTTACTCTGTTTGAAAACAACTCGAGCAACAAGTGTGGTTTCATAAACATTAAATTATAAAAACTATTTAATATTACACTATAAGGTTGATGACCCGTTTTAAATTGGCTTTATTGTCATGCATAAAACATTTTTTAAAGATAGATAAAGAATGGTAAAACTACCAAAATTGCTGTATGAGTTCAAAAAATAATACAATATTTAAAAATGAAGTTTTTGCAGAAAGTCTAGTGATGCTTTAGTAATTCAACAGTTATGATTATGGAACTAGTGGGTCCTGTAATCATAATTGACAACTGTTGAAATATCGAACATTTAAGTTTGAAATGAATGCGACGTAATACGTAAAAACAGTTGTTCCCATGCTTGTACGTTATCGAATTTTTCTTAGCGTTGTCAATTAAAAAAAAAAAAATGTGAAGTCCGCCAATCCGCAGTGGGGCCGCGTGGTGGACCATGCCCTGATCCGGAGATACAGATGTACAGGGCTGTACAGAGAGGCCTCCGTCCAGCAGTGGGACAGAGGCTAGGCCGACAGTTTAGTTCGCGTTAGAGGGCGCACCTCTAGCAGCTGCGCGGGGCTCATGAGCGGCGCGTTCTGAGCGTCGTTGGGGCGCAGCGCGGCCGGCAGCTCGGCCTGCTGCTCGCACAGCGCCAGCCGCCGCTCCAGCTCGCCGCACAGCTGCGGCTGCTCCTCCTCCGCCGCCGCCAGGCACAGCTTGGCCAGCGACGCCATCGTCTGCGACGGTTTTTATTTATATCAGAAAATCGCAAGCGAATTAGCGCTTCACCTGATGTTAAGTAAAAGACGCCGCCTATCGACATTCGCTTTATTATACCCTTAGGTTTTTGCAGATGTGTTGCCACATTTCTGTGTCGTCGCGTTCGACGTTGCGGATTACAAAAACATAAGACTCTACCAATGTTACACAATTGATACTATGTTATCATGAACCATGCAAAAAGGCCACATCCAATAGTGTGTCTATATCGTAATGGTTAATACATTGCAATATCTACATGAACCTTCTAAGTTTTTAGAATAAACATAATCTCTATGTACGGGTTAGAAGTTTCAGGAAATTTGCGCTACACGGCGGCGGGTACCGTGGTGCGGCTGAGCGGCTGCGGCTGTTTCTGCTCGAGGCGTGCGAGGCTCGCCAGGGCGGCGGCGGCGGCGTGCGGCCTCCTGCGGCCCAGCTGCTGCAGCGCGAGCAGCTGCGCGCGGCGCGGCTCGGGCGCGGCGGAGAGCCAGCGCGCCAGCCGCTCGCCGCCGCGCGCGCCCAGCTCGCGCACCAGCAGCGCCTGCGCCGCCCCGTCGCCAGAAGCCAGCCACGCGAACGCGATCTCCGCGATGCCCTGCGTATAGGCGAGTCTTTGTTATACTGACAATACTTTATCTAATGCTACTGTTGAAAAAATAAACCGTGCCCTTCTTTGTTATAATAACACATATAAATTATAATGTAATTAAATTCACCTGGTCAGAGTACTTCTCGATGTACCCGTGCAGACGCTCCATGTCGTTGTCGGCCACGCAGAGCTCCACCAGCAGCTCGTAGTCCTGGAACTTCTCTGCGAGGGCGGCAGCGCGTCTACCTTGCCCCAAGTCCACTGAAATCGGACTTCGTTTAGTATCTAATACGTATTTCGTAATATCGAGGAAAAACGAACAGTAATTAATTGTAAGGATTTCTCGGTAAGTGGAATCCAACATTATTTTTAATGAAATTCAAAATAAGTAGACTAACCTGGTGAAATGAGCAAGATATTAACAGTAGTAGGGCCACGCAACAGACAGGTCCGTCCGGGTAAATATCATGAGTTACAGAAGACCGGCGTAAAGTGGAAATGTTATAATTCTGCGTTTCGTCTGATGAGTTGGGTAGCCGGGGCCCGCTTCATTGTGAGGTGGTAACGCATCTGCAAAACTATGGGCGGTTCAAAGCGGGCGCACCGTAGGTGCGCAGCAGCTGGCGGCGCAGCGCGTCGAAGCCGGGCTGGGCGCGCGCGTCCGCCAGCAGCTGGTCGGCCAGCGCGGCCGCCGCCTCCAGCAGGCGCGCGCGCAGCGTCGCGTCGGGGCAGCCGCGCGCGCACTCCCTGCAACGCTGCCTGTCGGTACTCGCGGGCCGGAAACTATTCATTCACACGCCGAGTTGTTCTTGTTCGTTTTTAAATTTCCCAACACGTTGAAGTATTGGCTCCGAATGCGTACCTTGGGGTACACCAGTACTAAAATACGAAAGTGATGTCTTTTCCAAGTGTATACATAACTTGTAAAATACGGCAGGATTTTATTTTTTGTAAAAGGAATGTCTATAGTCTATAGGAAGTGGTAGTGTTTTTTTTTGTCTTACAAATCTTAAAAAATAGTTTTCCTCGTGTACATTTAGAAGAAATAATCAAAATGTGTAATATATATAAGTGGTGGGGGCGAGGCAGCACGTACGTGAGGGCGCGCGTGTGCAGGTGCGCGAGGGCGGGGCGCGTGGCGGGGTCGAGGGGCGGCGCGGGAGGGGGGGGGGCGCGGGGGTCCCGCCGCCAGACGCCCACTGCGCGCGCCACGCCTGCGCGGCGCGCAACGCCTCCTGCGGACGACACGAGGCGGCGTTCGTTTCAGATCGGGACCGGCTATAGGCAGGCCACGGCGCGGGAGGGGCCGTACCGCCAGCAGGCGCAGTGCGGCGGCGGCGTGCGCGGCGGCGGCGCGCGCGTCGGGCGCGGGCGGGGCGGCCTGCGCCAGCGCGCGCAGCAGCCGCTCCACGCGCGACACGCGGCGGAAGGCCACGTCCGCGGCGGGCAGCAGCTCGGCCTCCGGCTCGTCGCGCGCCAGCCGCTGGCACGCCGCCTCCAGCAGCGGCGCGCCCTCCGGGTCCTCCTCCTGCAGCCGGCGCAGTGCGCGCGCCGCCGCCAGCCGCTCACCATACACGCCCAGCAACTGCTGCGTGCTAACTACGCCGTCGCCGCTCTCTGCGTTTTGTTCCAAACGTTTATTCATTTTTTGCTATTAAAATACAATTTAACTACAAGAGAGGGCGTGAACCTCTGCTGACGGAGGCCAGGCGCCGCCAGAGGCCGTGCGCGCGCAGGAAGTCGAGGAAGAGCGCGAAGGCCTGCGCCTTGTCGCGCAGCTGCGCCGCCAGCTGCAGCGCGGCCGAGGCGCCCAGCGCCAGCCGCGGGCGGCGCGCGCCCCGCCAGCGCGGGTCCCCGGCCGGCGCGTCGTCCAGCAGCGAGCGCGCCGCGCCCGCCGCCGCCACGTCCAGCGGCGCGTCCACCCGCTCGCCCCCGCCGGCCCCGCCGCCCGCACCGCCCGCGCCGAACTCCTCGGCCAGCAGCCGCGCCGCCGCCGGGTCGCGCCGCACGTGGAACAGGAACGCCACCTTCAGCTTGTCGAGCGGGTCGCTCGCCAGCGGCAGCACCTGCGCCCACACCGTCCGCTGCACCGTCCGTCCGGCTCGAAGGACCGAAACCCGACTTTCGCGAAACGACACTCACCTCGTGCGGGTCGATTTCGTACATTGACAGGTTGCCGTCGTACATGTCCGCGGGACCCGGTGAGCCCACTGGACTCTCGCACATCGATCTTAAATTGATGATTCCAATTTATACAATGATTCCATAATGAGTACAAGCAGAGATTGATTTAAATCATTGATATAATCACAATTGGTGGGTGTCCGGCTGCGGACGCGGTGTGCGTAGCGCCAGCAGCCCGTGGCGGCGGCTGAAGAGCAGCGCGGCGCCCCCGCACAGGGCTGCGCCCAGCGCCACGTCGCCCTCCGCCCGCAGCGCCAGCCGCTCGCCGCCCTCGCCGCTCGCTCCCCCACCCGCTCCCAGGGCTAATATTGTATGTTATCACATCTTTCCTTAGCTTTGGACTGAGCAATGTCTGTTAATCAGTAGTATAATACAGTTGTTATACAGCTGTTCAAGCAGGAATTCGACAATAAGTGGTAGTGTCCATTAAAAATTCTTTTATTCTAGAATTTTACTTATAAATCATTAAGAAAAAATGAGGTTAGTGTATCTACATTTAAAAGGTCCTTGTCACAATAACATTATAAAGAAAAGTGGTACAGTGACAAGACCAAACAGCAGGAGCCTTACCCGGCACTAGTGCGACGTAGGAGCTGGTGTAGAGCAGCGCGCGCGGCGGCAGCGGCAGGCAGCGCGGCGGCTCCTCCGGCTCGGCGTCGGGCTGCAGCGACGACTGCGGCGCCTGCGACGCCGTCGGCGGCTGCAGCGCCTGCAGCGCCTGCAGCGGCTGCAGTGACGTCACGCGCGGGTTGTGCGCCTCCTCCACGTCCACGTTCGCTGAGAGGCGCAACACCGTCATACAGTGAAGGCTCTCTGCTATACTTACTATCACTATAAAACATGGACGCTTCAAATAAACTGCTGTATACTTTCAACAATCTCCTTATTCACTTCCCTTCATTTATTCAACACGGCATATAAACTATGTTAATCCTGATTAGAAAATAATTGACATATATCAGTATCTATATATCAGTTCAAATAAGAATATACTCACCAATTGCGTATCGCCTCTCTGGCGACCTGGCCACATTCACTGAGGCAATTAGCAGCATCAGACTATTCGGTCCGCTGGGATGCACATCCAAGGCCATTATCTCGAGGCTGTTCAGATCGACTGTAAACAGAGACATGGACTAGTTTCAGATAGAGGTTACAGATTACAAACGTAACAACACATCTTGGAAAATAACGAAATTTTAAATTTATAAGGGCACGTTTGAAAATGTTGCACTATTAACAAACATAGTGTTCTCATAACAATTATGAGTCCGGAGCAGAAATGGACATGTCCCGTGTCCGAGCGCACCTTGGGGGGCGAGGTGGGCGCGGGCGAGCGCGTCGCAGAGCGGCCGCCGCAGGTGGTGCTCGTGCAGCTCCGCGCCGCGCCACAGCTGCAGCAGCGGCCCGCTGGCCACCAGCGCCACGCACTCGCCCTGCTGCTCCGGCCCGCCGCCCTCCGACGAGCCCCGCCCGCTCAGCACCACCACGCCCACCAGCTTCTGTCGAACCGTAATGTTAATATACTTCGTGACGATCTTCAATTTACTCATTTGAATTTTAGTAGACCCCAAGACTTAGATAATAATTGAATAGGATTTTTTATTTATTTCAACCTATATATTTTAATTTATTATCTGTGCAAAAATATCAGTCACCCAACGACAGGATTGCGCTAGATGACGTGTTAAATATGGCGGAAGGCCCTTAAAATACAACTGCTTACGGTTTTTAAAGCATAAAAAAAATCAATCGAATTATGTTATTTGCTTACTATCATTCAATACTCTGACAAAAAAAATAAAAAAAAGAAAAAGAATACATACAGTTTCAGCATGGGCAGGCATAGATCCAAAAAACAGTAATGAAACACGACGCCCAATTCCTCCAAGCCAGCCACTCGGTGGTCTCAGTGTCTGACATGTCACTGTAGGGCGACCATCTGCAAGGAATGTTTATCATTTAAAACTCCTCATACGGGGCTTTACAAATATGAAATCGTGGACAGAAAGTAAACACACCCAGGCTCAGAAAAACTATTTGTGGAATATGTTTATTTTCCCATTTTGTGTGTTTATTTCCAATATATGAATTCTTTGTGATTTTTATGAATTTTAATTTCTTTCCTTGGGTGGGAAACAACTACAAATTTTAACATGCAAATTATCTATAGTGCCTTTTAAATTTAAAGTTTTTTATAGTGCTAATCTCTGCACTTAAGATTAAACATTAAAACTTGTGGCAATCAGCCTTTTAGCTTAGTGGCTAAAGCGTGTGTAAAGGCCGCGAAGACGTGGGTTCGATTCCCAAAGCGGCGACAATCTTTTCGTACTTTTTCTACAAGTTTTAATGTTTAATCTTAAGTGCAGAGATTAGTACTATAAATTTCTAAAAAGCAATGGCGACATCTCTCGTTCGAAGTTATCGTTGTAAAACGATATTCGAAATTGTTTATATGCTGAAAAGGATATAACAATAGATGTGCCAAGCATTAATTCAAATGCTAAATAACAAAGTAGATAAAAGACGTTAAGATTTTCGTCGGTGTGGCAATCAGCCGTTTAGCTTAGTGGCTAAAGCGTCAGGCCGCGAATGCCGAAGACGTGGTTTGATTCCCACAGCGGCGACAATCTTTTCGTACTTTTTCTACAAGTTTTAATCTATATAGTGCCATCAATATAAATTCAATATAGATATTATGATAAGCATCTGCAGTCACCTCACCTGTCATAGTAGGAGTAAGTAGTACAACAGTGCAGGTCGTGGTTGCGAGCACTAAACCACTTTTTGTTGGTTCACCAAGCTGCTCGCACTCCTGTCCAGCTAGCTCAGCCGAAATATCAACATATACACCTTCCTGACCAATGCATGGCCAATAACGGACAACTCCCTCAGGCGATACGCCAATGCAAGATGGCAGCTAAAATTAGAATGTGAAAGTAGTTGGGAATCTTGTTAATAGATATACATGTATAATAAAAAAATCACAATACAAAAGAATTAAATTGAATTATAATATTAAGTGAAATACAAAACGCAATAGGGAATAAGTTTTACTGATCCGATTCGCATTTACTGCATAGCAAATCTGTACTGTGCAAGAGCAGTCAAGTGTAAGCCCATTTCTTAATAAAGATTATAATGCATAATGCACATTGTCATGATTATTTAACATTTAGTACCTGTGCTTCACCATCATAGAAGAGCACAACAAGATTAGCCTTATGCGCAAGATCTGTTTGTGGTAATGTCAGTTCTCGTGCAGCTGCAGCAAGTGCAGGTTGATAAGGCCATGTGAGCACACGGCGCCCAGCAACTACCCAGCACCAGCCACAAGCAGACATACGGGCACTAACATCACCACTCGCTACAAAATGAAAAAATTATAAAAATAAAATATTTTGATATTGTAATGGATGCATTATTAAAATGTGGTGAGCCCCAACTAGTTTATTTTGTTAGTACAGTTATTATAGTTTAAATTGCTAGTCACAATAGCAATGATTAGTATGACTATTTGAAGAGGTAATGCAACGGGAGTTTTATGAATGCACAATGATGCAATCAGTCTGAGACAGTGGCATAGCAGATGGTATAATACACAATAACTTCACAGCCAGCATTAGAGTTTGAGACCTGTATAATATTGAATGGTAATATGAGATAAACTCTCATGTCTCATATCACTTGTATCTGTTTTTATCTTGTCTTTATAAATATAAAATTGGAAAGTGTTAATTATTTACTTATTAACATACCAAAGGTAAGTGCCTCGGTAACCATTACAGGCAAAGGCAATCCAAAAGTCTCTAAAGTCATTGAAGGAGTTTTATAAATTACATCTCCCGTCTGTTGCCCTCCCGGTGACTGCATGTAATTACTGCAAAAATAGTAGTCAAGGTTATTATGTACATAAACACGCAAATAACGACCCAATAGATCCTTTATTGAGTTTAGCATTAAAGAACATAATCATATTGCAACTGACAGTGAACCGCCTTCTAGCAGTGCCTATCCTTTGGCACGCCATTCATAACATATTAAAGTAATTGTTTACAATACAAATTAAAGAAATGTAAGTTCAATGTAATAAATTATTAGGTTACGTATAGCAAAGCAAACCTTGGGGCTTTTTTAGCCGATGCGAGCCCTATAGGTCTTCTAGCTTGTTTAATCCGAGGAGAAAATGGGCTCCTCATTCCCCCTGTATTATTGAAGTCCATTTTTCAAATCAAAATTTATTTCTTACAAAGTTTTAACCGGTCTAATTTTTAAACTGATGTTGAGTTGAAGCTGATTTTGATTTGCTAATATTTTTACTTTTTGATTTGCTAGAACCCGCAGGAAGCAGGAAGTACAGAAACAGATTATATTTATAAATATTTAACATAGATGCTGTAAATATTATGGATTAAGCATTTTTCGTCTCTTACTTTATAATTTTAAAGTGTAGGTAAGTGTAGAGTTTGCCCGTTTTACACAAGTCAGTAAAAAAATAGAATTTGCCTATTTCGTAAAGTTTGGACATACCTACACTTCTAAGTTAAAATTTTGTTGGTGCGTTTAGCGTTAATGTATTATGGGCACAGACAGAGAAAACAACTGGCACTTGCCACTTGGCAGTTTTTATTTTCTCCGATTACTGTTATAAGATTTTTTTTAGATCTCTCTCTGGTAGCTGGTCATTTCTTACTTTTTGACATTTCTTTCTTTGAGTTCGAAGACTTATTTGTGCAATGCAATGAATACAAAAAAAGGAGTTTATACGTCCTGTAGAACGATTGCATCATCATGGAACACAAAACGGTTTTGTGAGCGGTTCTTCGTCGCAATGCCCATCGCTAGATTATATGATTTTTTTAGATATTGTTTTCTTGTTTTTACACCAATGTTATACATACATTTAATCAATACATAGTATTGGTATAAAAAAATTAGATTTCGCTTTATAAAATTTTAAAATTACCGACGTTTCGAACCTTTTCCAGCGTTCAAGGTTACGGGACAGCCTAGACTGTTTACAACACATTTTTTAGAATATTTTGAAGGTGAAAACTTGTATTTGGACTATAGGTGAATTTGGCTAAGGGAAAATTCATACACCGGTTGTTATCCTATTACCGAAGTAAGCAGCGCCGGGCGCGGTCAGTACATATACGAATGACCGCCTAGGAACACCACGTGAGGTTGGCTTTTTGCTGTTGAAGTTGAATTGAAAACTTTAAAATTGATAAAAATAGTTTATTTTTTCACAAAATATTGCTTAAGAACCCAAAAATAAGAAGCTAAGAACTTTTTACTTCTAATGTGTAGTGCTATCGCTTAGTACTGTTAGCTATTTTTTATTTCAAAAGGACAGGGTCAACCTATATATCTCAGAAATTATTGGGACTTATGATTTTTAAAATATAACTATGAAATACTTATATATAGAATAAAACAAGAATTAACATTAATCAAAAATATATAAATAAATACTGCCTTCATCTTTCTATACTGGCAAGTAAAATTTAAACGTCAGTTCAATGTTTAAAATTAAAAAGTAAAAACTTAAAATCAAAACTTTTTAGTAATTGCCAACTTGCAACGGTTTATTATTTTTTAATTCGAAGAAAATAATTAACAATACACAATTAATTGTATGAATAACTATTTTATCGTTCTATTCATGCTTATTTGTGCCTTTAAACATGTATATCAAGTCGATAGTTTTAGACGGATTTAAATCCTATGGAAATAGGGTTGAGGTGACCGGCTTTGATCCAGAATTTAATGCTATCACAGGCCTCAACGGAACTGGAAAGTCAAATATACTAGACTCAATTTGCTTTGTATTGGGCATCACAAACTTGTCTAATGTAAGTTAATACTAATATAGTTTTCCCGCCAAGACAATGTTTAACCAATCGCACTATCTTGATCTACTTAAATCTTTGTAACATGTCATTTTCTTCTGTAGTGTTACATTTAACTAAACACTCATTATTTAAGGTAAGAGCTGGAAGTCTGCAGGAGCTTATATACAAACATGGACAAGCTGGCATCACTAAGGCTACTGTTAGCATAACTTTTGATAACCGGGATAAGCGCCACTGCCCTATAGGCTATGAGAATCACGATGAAATTACTGTTACAAGACAGGTAGTTTAATTAGATTCAATTACATGTTTAAAATATGTATGTTTTATTTAATATGAAGATAATCACAAGAAATTATTGTTTATGAAGCTTAATGCTTAAGTTTTTTTAAAAATAATTTCAGGTTGTAATGGGTGGCAAAAACAAATACTTAATAAATGGAATCAATGTACAGAATAAGAGAGTCAGTGATTTATTCTGTTCTGTGCAACTAAATGTTAATAATCCCCACTTCCTTATCATGCAAGGGAGAATAACTAAGGTTCTCAACATGAAACCTCCGGAGGTATGTTACTTGATTATTAGGTACAAAGTAATTTTATCAGTTTTAGTAAATTTCATGTTCTCAATTTATTTGATTCCCAAAAATAATGTGGTATTTAGTATTATAAGTTTTATTTAGTAGTTTATAAGTTTTTTTTTATGTGACAAGTTGCCAAATGTGCAGACGGTTCACCTGATGTTAAGTGAATACCGCTACCCACGGACATCTGTTACACATGAGAGTTCCAGATGCGTTGACAATCTTTTGAAAATTGGGCTTTAATTTGAAGTTTATAAGTTGATACAAATGTTTTTGAATAGATCCTTTCAATGGTGGAAGAAGCTGCTGGGACAAGAATGTATGAAGCTAAAAAGCAAGCCGCTCAGAAAACTATTGAGAAGAAAGATGCAAAGCTCAGGGAATTAAATGATGTAAGAATTAAATTGATTAAAAATTGTTGAAGAAAAAAATATTGCAATTAGCAGTACAGTTAATGTTTCAATTAATTTTATTTTAATAATTTTTATTGCATCATCTTAATACAAGATATTGTAAATAGAACTATTATATGCACTCTGTACCTTATGTTTTTATAATACACATTAAAAGTAGTTGTTTAGTCTCATCATTTCATTTTTTATGACATCTTGGTTATAATAAGATACAAATTAAACACAATAAAATTTGTAAAATAGGTTTATTATTATCAATAAATTTAAAATGATTTTAACAAGTCTGCGTATCAAATATTTTGTAACTAGTGTTTTATTTAAATTATTGGCAGATTATAAGAGAAGATATCGCACCAAAGCTACAGAAATTGCAAGATGAAAGATCACAGTTCCAAGAGTATCAGAAAGTAGTTAGGGAATTAGAAAACCTAACTAGACTTTATGTGGCATGGCAGTAAGTGATTTATAAAAATATTATTTGTCGTTGAATTATTTGCAAGTTTGAATGTCTATAAAAACAAAGCTGTATATATTTTGTTTGATTTTTAGTTTCTTTTTAAGCACATTATTTAATATATTTAAGATATGTTAAAGCGGAGGAAAGTGCTAAAGAAGCTGCAAGCAAAGTGACACAGGTCGAAGATGACATAAAGAGTAAGAAGGAAAACATCAAGAAAAATGAGGAAGAGGCCAAAGTTTCGGAGGAGCAGGTGACCGAATTAAACCAAAGGCTGGATGAGGTATGATAAAGTTGTTGTTAAACATTACGTACAGTCCGTGTGGGGCATATGGACGCGAGGCAAAATGAGAGGAGATGCGCAGGAGAGCGGCAGCGCGTTGCGGGCGCTGCAGGAGCGGGCGCAGGCGGCGGAGGCGGCGGAGGGCGCGGCGGTGGCGCGCGCGCGCGGCGCGGCCGAGGCGGCGCGGGCGGCGGGCGCGCGGGCGGCGCAGGCGCGCGCCGCGCTAAGGGCCGACGGCGCGGCCAGGGCGGCCGCGGAGCGCGCGCTGGCCGCGGCCGAGGCCGCCTTCGGGGGGCTGCGCGCGGCCAGCGAGCGCAGCGAGGCCGCGCTGGCCGACGCGCAGCGGCGCTTCCTCGCCGTCAGCTCGGGCCTCGAGGGCGCCTCCGAGTCGCTGCAGGACCGGCTCATCGGTGAGCGCCCTTTTTATTTTTATCTGAACTCATCATACCCGGACAGATCTAACTATTCGTGTAACAGTGAAGACTTACACAACGTTACCATGTTTTATCTGTTAAACATAGTAGGGTTAATCTTTAGTTTGCATCCAATGGAGCTCCCATACCTCTTACGACAGATGCTCTTATACCCTTTTCTACATAGCTGCAAAAAGGGAGGCTTCGGAAGCATCTACACGCATTTCCCAAAGCATGATGGAGAAGAAGCACGCGGAAGAAAGGCTGCGCAATCTCGAACGCGAATTCAAGTCGAGCAGTTCGCAGTACCAACGGGACCAGGACAGCATTGCCAAGCACCAAGTGGAAGTTGAGCAATTGCAGGTAATATCCAGAAAAATATAATCATTACATAACAATGTTACTTCTACTTATGTTCTTTTATAACTCTTGAATAGATAAATATTTTATTACAAAACAAAAACATTAAATAATTTCAAATGGATATCTCCTTCATATCCATTTGAAATTAATTAATGTTTTTATAAGTCTGACCCAACTTTACACAGATGAAATTCATTATACATATATACCTTCCTCTTGAATCACCCTATCTAGTAATAAAAACCTTATCAAGATTCATTGCATAGTTTTAAAGATCTAAGCAAGCAGGGAAAACAACCGGGACAATAGTTCTGGGGCCTCCACAGTACACTTCAGTAAACAATAGTAAACAACTTTTCCTTTCATATTTTTTTTCGCGTTTTACTTTTACCTACAGTACTCTGAACAAACATCGAATATATCATCAACATTAAATATTAACAGAAATCAATAGAAAATAATTTGGGACCAAGGGGCCTTCACTCCTTTGTTGGCCTGAGGCCTCCAGACCTCTAACTCCAGCGCTGCATACGTAGGGACAGACAGACAGCGGGCTTTGTTTTGTAATATGTAGTGATGAAATTAAAAATGCAGTAAATGTGTGCAAAAGCGTAAGGATTGTGTTTTCGTGAATGAACCTTAAATGTAATATTCTTCGGAACTTGTAACGATGTAATGTGACAATGGCAGGGCCAGCTGTCGCAGATGAGCTTCAGCGAGGAGCGGCGCGTGGAGCTGCAGGAGCGAGTGCGCTCGCTGCGCGCGGCCGTCCGCGCCAAGCGCGACGCGGCCGACTCGCTCGCAGCTCGGCTGCAGCGCTGCGACTTCCACTACCAGCCGCCGCAGCGCGACTTTGACCGCTCCAGGGTCGCAGGTGTGCCACATTTCCCATTAGACCAAATGGCTCTTTGGTAGCTTTCTGCCCCATTAACTACTGTAGCGCAACTAGAACTGTAAATAACTTGTTAGCAGCCTTTTCCCCTTTTCCATAAAATGCAGACCTTTCATTATTTCATTGTAGCTTTTTACACACAACCATAATTTTTTTTATTTAAATGTGCTTCCTGTGTGTTGTGTGAACTCTTATTGGTAAAAACCTTTTCCATCTATTTCTAGATTTTCTTTTCAGTAGGAATTGTCATCCAATTCCTTCTTACTATTCTTATGACATCATCTGACCATGTTTATCTTGGCCATCTTGCTCTTCTTTCGCGTCGTGGTCCTTTCATAAGTTTGTTTTAAATACTATTATATGTTACAGGCACGGTTTGCAGACTCATAGATGTCCGCGACTCCAGATATTGCACCGCCTTAGAAACCGCTGCTGGAGGAAGGGTAAGAACATGTCCATTATGTTTTTATTTATATTACGTGTCTGTTTGGACGTCAATATTGGTTCCGATAACGTCCGCCTCGGTTGCAGCTGTACAACGTGGTGGTGGACACGGAGGTGACGAGCAAGCTGCTGCTGCAGCGCGGGCAGCTGCAGACGCGCACCACCATCATCCCGCTCAACAAGATCTCGGGGCAGGTGATCGACCGGGAGACCGTGCGGCTGGCGCAGGAGATCGTGAGTGTGGCAGACGGCGGTGGCGGTGGCGGTGGCGGTGGCGGTGGCGGTGGCGGTGGCGGTGGCGGTGGTGGGGAGGAGCGGCGGGTTAAAGGGGCGGCGTGCGCAGGGCGGCGGCGCGGAGGCGGTGCAGCTGGCGCTGGAGCTGGTGGCGGTTCGAGGAGCGGCTGCGGCCGGCCATGGCGTGGGTGTTCGGCGGCACGCTGGTGTGCCGCGACCTGGACACGGCGCGCCGCGTCACGTTCCACCCGCGCGTGCGCCGGCGCGCCGTCACGCTCGACGGCGACGTGTTCGACCCCGCCGGCACGCTCTCGGGCGGCGCGCGCGCCAAGGTGCTGCTGCCTCTTCAGTCTTCTCTTCTCTTCTCTTGTCTTGTGTTGGGGCCGCCTCTTCATTTCGATATCACGACAGGGCGGCTCGGTGCTGATGCAGCTGAGTGAGCTCAAGCGCCTGGAAGCGGAGCTACGCGAAGCAGAACAAGAGTTGGCCTCGTGCACCGCGGAACTCAACTCTATGCAGCAGATGGCTGAGAAATACGGGGCGCTGCAGCAGAAGTGAGTATGTAGGGTGTGAATTGAACAGGGCAAGAACATAGGAACAAGTATGAAAATTCTTATTTCGTAAGGAAGAATTAATTAAGGATCAACATGTGTGTACATAATTATGTTACGGACATTCTTTGCATTAGATACAGTTCATTCAATGTACTTTATGTTTATTATTATTATTAGTCCATCGTTGACTGCAGCATTAGGCTGAGTGCGGTCCGTTTGCCGTATACGCCGTGTTACAGTGGGCGCTTGTTGGTAGGCTGGAGATGGCGAGGCACGCGCTGCAGGTGGCCCAGGAACGGTGCGCTTGCACGGCGCAGGCGCAGCTGCACCAGGAGATCGAGGCGCTGCGGCAGCGCGTGGCGCAGCTGGCCGAGGCGCTGCAGGCGGACGAGGCCGCGCGGCGGGACAGTGCCGAGCGCGCGAGGGACCTGGAGGCCAAGGTCAAGGACATCAAGGGACACCGCGAGAGGTGACTGACTGCCTTAACATGAACACCGACAAGACGAAGATAATGTCTAATGTCCGTTTCATGCCGATACCGGTAGCTGTTGGGAGCACTGTGCTCGACGTTGTTGACGAGTATGTATACCCAGGACAGTAAGCCCGGCTAGGTGAGTCTAATTTCGGCAGAGGTCTATCGGCGAATCCAACTCGGATGGGTATATAGCTCGTAGAACCGATAACCGTTGGGGAAGAAACGTTTTCGAGTGGCAGCTTCTTATTGGCCATCATAGTGTTAGACGACCCCCCCACAAGTTGAAGTGACGACCTGTGTGTGTTTGTGCGGGAAGTCGATGGATGCGGGAGGCTCAGGATCGTGCTTCTACTTCGTCATTCGTAGTCTGTGAAGGAGGCTGAACATACAGAAGTGTAGAGTCATAGTATAGTTCAGCAGTTATAGCTGCGACTTCTTTTCATCGATGAGTCTCGATTACTTACCATTAGGCTAGAAATTAATAAATTAGAAACAAGAAAATTATCAGTAACACAATGACACTGCATTGACAGAAATACATCATAACTATCCACACAGAATATTTATGTACTTGACAGTATTTTTATGCTACAAATGGGGTTTCATTCTTTTATGTTAACTTTCAACTGAATTTAAAATACATTTACTAAAACCAAGTTATTCATAACTGATCTTTAATATTCAACTTTATTTTTACCATGTTCCCTTGAAGAGAGTTTAAGAAGGCTGAAGAGGAATTAAAGCGGGCTAAGGAGGAAGCGGAAAAGCACAGCAGCTCGTGGGCCACGCGGGAACAGGAGTTTGAGACGCTGAAGTTGGAAGTGAGCGAGCTGCAGAAGGCAGTGCAGGCCGGAGAGCAGCAGCTGGCGGAGATGGACGTAGCCGCCGAAGCTTTGAAGCAGGCGATGCTCGATGCCCAGCAACAGCACCAAGCTGCTCTTGTGAGAATCCACCTGTTTTATAGTTTTCTTTGTTCCACTCTTAACTACTAGACTAAAGTGTAGAGTTTGAATTTAAAAGAGATAACGCTGTTATAGTTTTCTTTGAGAAAAGCTAAAAGGCCAACTAATAATACTTTTAAAACTCAATGATAAAGCAACCACTGACAGTGAACGTGTGTTTTCAGAAAGAGGCGAAGGATCTGCAGGGCGAGATAAAGCGTCAAAAGGCGGAGATAGCGAGCCGGAACGGGGAGATAGCGTTGCTGTGCCAGAAGAAGGAGCGGCTGCTGAAGGAGAACGGCGAGCTGGAGCTGCGTGTGCAGGAGCTGCAGTATGCGAGGAAGGAGTTGCAGGGCGAGGCGTCTGGGTGCGCGGAGCGGGTAGGGCGGGGTGGTGGGCGGGGGCGGGGCCGGTGGGAGAGGCGGTGAAGGCAGTGAACGGGTCGGGAGTGCAGATGGCGGCGCTGGAGCGCGAGCACGGCTGGATCTGCGGCGAGCGCGAGTTCTTCGGGCGCGCGGGCGGGCTGTTCGACTTCGGCGCGCGGCAGGCGCACGTGGCGGCGCCGCGGCTGCAGCAGCTGCGCGCGCGCCGCGACGGCCTGGCCCGGGGGCTCAACGCGCGCGCGCACGCGCTGCTCGCCAAGGAGGAGGACCAGGTGCGCGCACCTTGTACTTGGACGGAAACACGGACGCCGGCAAGCCGTTCCATCTCCACTTTGTTTAGTATATCTGTTTCTCTGATTTTTTCACTTCTTATTTTTCTTCTGGATCCTAATAAAGTATGCGAAGATTATTCTCACAATGTTTTAACAGATTCATTCATTACCAGTTTAGTCTTATTTCAAATTCATTAGACATTATATAAGTCTTTGCAATGGTTTAATTTTCTAAATAAACAATTGCCTTTCAGTACCAAGATGTGATGCGCAAAAAGAAGATTGTGGAAGCGGACCGTGCGAAACTTGTCCAGGTGATGGCAGAATTGGATGAAAAGAAGCAACGCACCTTGGTTGCTGCATGTGAACAGGTCTCACTTCAATACATACAATCTTACATACTACAAATAAAGTAACCAATAGCAGCGGGGGAGAGAGATTAAATAATATTGACCGGCGTCGCAGGTGAACCGGGACTTCGGGTCGATCTTCAGCACGCTGCTGTCGGGGGCGCAGGCGCGCCTCACGCCGCCGCCGGGCCTCACCGTGCTCGAAGGGCTGGAGGTGGGGAACGACTATTTGTGTGACCCACCGCTAGTTGTTTCGCATCTGGGTTGCATGTTTCAATTAATGTTATCCTAAAGTAAGGGCAATGATTTTAAAAAGATAAAAAAGAGATTTATCCCTACATATAAAGAAAGGGATTAGAAATAGCGGCTCATCGTATCCGTACCGTCAGTATATACGGTACTAATAGCGAAAAAGCTTTTTAACAAAAAAAAAAAAAGAACAGAGTTCAAATCAATACTAAATGAAAAATCTAACTTATGTGATCTAACCTACCGAACCTTTAACAAAATGTAATAGTAGCGTAGTGAGAGTGTAGATAGCGACAGTGTGCGAGCGAGAGGCGAATAGAGGCACCCCGACGGTATTGCAAGCCGTATTACGTGGTCGGCAGGTGAAGGTGGGGTTCAACTCGCAGTGGAAGGAGTCGCTGGGCGAGCTGTCGGGGGGCCAGCGCTCGCTGGTGGCGCTGTCGCTGGTGCTGGCGATGCTGCTGTTCAAGCCGGCGCCGCTCTACATCCTGGACGAGGTGGACGCCGCGCTCGACCTCTCGCACACGCAGAACATCGGACACATGCTCAAGCAGCACTTCAAACACTCGCAGGTGACACTCTTAGCGTGTAAATTAATGACGAAGTGAAAACATCCCTGAAGTTTACCTTCACCAATTTGAGCGATGACATTGATTTTCTTGGATAATATTTTAGCCATCAGTATTGTTATGAACACACAAAGGAACTAACGCCATCTAGCGTCAACTATTAAAATCACTAAAGAACAAAGACGACATAAAACCCCCTATTCAATACTAGATGGCGTTAGAGGAACTGCTGTGGAACTATAGTCTCGAAAACCGGGTACATTCGCGAACTTTCCGGAATCACGAACATGTTCGGGCGTGTCGGGTACGTTCCAGGAAGGATCTTTCTGGATTAGTCTGGAACCGGTCTCGGCCCATATAAAAAGCCGCGGGGAGTCGAGCCAATACAGTTCAGTTTGAGCTACCTTCGAGGCGACTTCGGAGCGAAAACTAGTGATCAAGAGCGATACCAGTGAAACCTACGACTTGGCTACAAAATAGGACATCGTTAGTGCTTAGTGTTTGGACCTAGTGCTTTGTGTTGGACCTAGTGCTATTGAATAAAGTCTTCAAAAGAGTCAGCAAGTCTTTCTCTCCAAATCCTTCGAACCCCTAACACGTAACAACTGGTGTCAGAAGTGGTATTTGGAGATGTGGTATTGACTCCGAGAGAGGACTTCAAGGAGGGTGTCACTGGGGACCAAACTCCACCCACTGAGGCCCAAGCCCCGCCCACTTTAGCTCAAGCCACGCCCATTTCGGGGCAGGCCCCGCCCACCTTGCCACGCCCACCGGCGGCACCACAGCTTCTGCAGCCCCTGAAGTGGCTCTTCAATTAGGAAGTTTAATTAAATTAATGGAGCTGCAAATGGCTGAAATTCAGGCAATGAAGGAGTCACAAGAACGCAAGCTCAGCGCTTTGCAAGCGTCGCAAGAGCAACAAAAAGACCTTCAAGAAAAAGCGCTTTGGGCTATAAATGATGATGTTAGTAACACGGTGATTAAGCTTCGAAGTGATGTCGACGTAGTCGAAGAACGAGTTACCGGGTTAGGATTGGATGTTGAAAATGTGAAAACCGGCCTTACTGAACTGCAGAAGAAAGTAGTGCGCCTTGAAACCACGGGAGTCGCGATGTCTAGTGGAACCACTGGAGTGGCGCAAGGACCAAGAGTGAAAGTGCCGCCATACGACGGCACTACTTCTTGGCACGCTTATCGTCGGCAATTCCAGACTGTTGCTACTGCCAACGGATGGACGGAAGAGCAAAGCCTGACCGCTCTTACTGTTGCGCTCAGAGGACAAGCTTTGTCGGTCCTGGAAGCACTGCCACATACAGGAAATGGGTTCCAAGACCTGATGGAGGCACTTGAATCCAGATACGGGGAGCGACACCTGGAGCACGTATTCCGTGCCCAACTGCGTGACCGAGTCCAACGCTCAGGAGAAGGACTACAACAATGGGCGTTGGAAATTGAAAAACTCGTCAGGAAGGCACACCCAGGAGCCGATACCAAGATAGTAGACACGAATATTGTTCAAGCATTTGTGGACGGAATCAAGGACCTCGAGGTCAGAGCTGCAGTGAGGCTTCGTCACCATACCTCGTTAAAGGAGGCATTGGCGCACGCTTTGGAGGTCGAGGCTGTTCGCCATGACATACGGCAGACCCATAAGATCCGCGAGGTCTTTGAGGAAGTGAAGGAGGTTAAGGCCCCTACGAAGAGAAGTTCTGGACCCATGTGCTACAAGTGCGGCGAGAGGGGCCATCTTCAGCTCAACTGCCCGCAGAAGGAGACCCAGATGGAAAGGATGAAAAGGATTGAGGAACAAATAAAGGAGCTGAAGAAGCAAGGGGCTTCAGGGAAACGAATAAAAGCCGGGACTAAGGAGCGAGTACTGGCTGACGCGGAGGAAGCTCCAGTAAACGGCCACAACTACGGATCAATGACTGAGGTACTCAATGACTTCAAGACGAAACACCGCAGCGGAAAGACGCATGGAAATGCCGACGCACTCTCACGAAGGCCGTGTTCGGAAGACTGCAAACATTGTGTTAAGCAGGAATCTAATGAAGTTACATTAAAGCTAACGAGGACAAGTCCTTTGGGTCTCTGGGAGACTGATGCTATGAGAGAGGCTCAAGAAAGTGACGACGACCTTCGGCACATCATCACATGGAAGAAGCGGGGCGATGTAAAACCAAACTGGAGTGAGGTTGCACCCACTGGCGCTGTCACTAAGGCGTACTGGGTGCAATGGGACAGTCTGATACTTCAAAACGGAATACTCTACCGGAAATGGGAGAAGACTAACGGCAGAGAGTTCCATCTTCAGATAATTGTCCCGAGAACGAGAGTACCAGATGTTCTCCGTGAAATACATGATGGCGTATCAGGAGGTCATCTAGGTGTCAAGAGGACGTTAACAAAAGTGCGAGAACGATTCTACTGGTTGCATTGTCGAGATGATGTACAGGATTGGTGCCGCAAATGTACTACTTGCGCTGCTGTAAAAGGACCACAGAACAGAAGCCGTGGGAACCTGCGGTTTTATAACGTCGGTGCACCGTGGGAACGAATTGCAGTTGACGTAGCTGGGCCATTTCCTGTAACGGAATCGGGAAACAAGTATTTTATGGTCGTCATGGACTACTTCACCAAATGGCCCGAAGTGTTCCCCATACCAAACCAAAAAGCTACAACAGTCGCTTCTAAGTTAGTCGAAGAAGTGATATGTCGTTTTGGTGTGCCTCTAGAAATCCATTCCGATCAGGGCAGGAACTTCGAATCACAAGTATTCCAGGAAGTATGTAGAATTTTGGGCATGCATAAGACGAGGACCACCGCGTGCCACCCTCAGTCTGATGGAATGGTTGAGAGATTTAACCAGACCCTTGAGAGGCATCTGGCGAAATTGGTAGACGACAAACAAAAGGATTGGGACAAGTATATACCACTCTTCCTTCTGTCGTACCGAACCGCCGAGCATGAGAGCATAAAAGCTACCCCGGCGTATGTCAATTACGGTAGAGAACTACGATTACCAGTAGACCTACTGACAGGAGGGTCACCGGAGGGACCACAGACCGTACAAGACTGTCTGCAATTTAAGGGAAAAAATGCGCTATATACACGCCTTGGTTCGGGAAAATGGGTTACAGTCAAGTGAGAACATGAAAACCAGATACGACCGGAAATCGAACACGGACGGCTTCGAAGAAGGGTCACTGGTGTGGCTGCATAACCCAACTCGTCGGAAAGGGAAATCCCCAAAGTTGCAGATCAAGTGGGACGGTCCATACAAAGTGGTTACCCGACTGAATGATGTGACTTATAGGATTCAAAAGCAACCAAGAGGGACATTCAAAGTGGTACACATAGACCGTCTGGTGCGTTACCATGGCAGTAACAATGATGCTCGGAACGAGCATCTCTAAGAGGGGAGTAGTGTTATGAACACACAAAGGAACTAACGCCATCTAGCGTCAACTATTAAAATCACTAAAGAACAAAGACGACATATAACCCCCTATTCAATACTAGATGGCGTTAGAGGAACTTTATTATTATTATTATTATTATCATCAACAAGAACAACCAACAAGAACATTATCGCCTAACATCAAATGTGATAATGCTTAAGTCTGCCCATGATAAAAGGACATTGTTTTTTTTACTATTATCTATATTGTCGTAGTGCTTACTAAGTAGTGTCATCAAAAGCAAATGCAAGCTTGGTTATTTACGTTTATATAGAAGTCACTAAATAGCGGACTGCACACCTATTTTGTATGAATCGTTAGAATGGATAATAATTCGTCCAACGTCTTAGCTGCCGTCGATTCGAAAACGGGCTTCAGATGGATACAGATATTCATTTAATGATATTGTAACTATAATTCAAGTTTGTTAAAATTTTATCAAATTAAATACATGTGACGATGTAAAGTCCGGATAAATATGCTTACGGACTGCGACTGTTATATTATTTAAAAAAATAATACTATTGAATAACATCCTTTATCTTCCGATTTGTGTACTTCATAAGATCATAATATTGGTTTTGAGATACTTAAATAGCTGTGTTCTTATCTAGCATTCTTTGTTTTTATTACACCAAACTGCTAAGTATGTTTCACAGAATAATTCAAAAAATCGTGGTGTAATAGATAGTTTATGATCTCAATATTTGTAACAAGTCATTAAAAATCTTCACAATCTCCATTACTGCTGTAAAAGTAAGTATAGAGCAAAAGAAATTCATTTACGCAACATCTTACTGATATTATTGGCAGCTAATGTACGACCTGCTAATTGCACCCTATTGTACTGTTTTGCACCTTTAACTTTCTGCGCCAGAGTGTGGTATGGGCGCAATTAACTTACGTTTGTGGTGCCTAGTTCATCATCGTGTCGCTGAAGGACGGCATGTTCAACAACGCCAACGTGCTGTTCCGCACGCGCTTCGTGGACGGCATGTCGGCCGTGCAGCGCACCGTCAACAGCGCGAGATAGCTCTCGCCCCTCGCCTCTCGCCTCTCATTTTCAACGGTTACTTGTGTATTGAAGCTTAATAAAATGCCCATTAATCTAATGTAAATATTAAGTACATTTTAAAAGCAAACTTGTTTTCTTTCCAACCCTGTCACCAGGCTGACAGCCTGTTCCGGCTGTATTGCCAACCGCAGCCACAGGGCAACTGACTAATGCTGTGCCCAGTCCAGATTTCACCTGTGCTATGGTTTTCTGGGCATTTACCAGTGTTATAGCCCAAGCAACTTCCCCTTTAATGAGCCCATCTAAGCCTGTTATGCGCAAATTTGCGCATATCTCAGGCCGGTGCTGAGCTTTTCAGCCAGCAAGTTGGTTATATCGCCACTGGTAGCACTTCTAGAATTCTAGCCCCCTCTTGAGGCGCTTCTAGCAGGATGGCCTGGATGCTGAGAATTTTCAGGTGCATCTCTAACATCCTTGAGTATCTTTGAAAATTTGTACATATTATGTTATTGCGTTTTTCTATTATATTCTGGTTTTAATTATCGCCTTAGCACTTCTCTGACAAGATGACCAATTATTTGACAATGAAATATAATTAATGCATATAGTCAATTTGAAAAACGAGCAAACAAGAGCGATCAATCAACACAAACAAAAGAACAATTTCCAGAGTTTTTTATCATTTAAATAATCACTAATAAATTAACCATTAACCATCGAACGAAAATAAAACATGTTTTATTTGCTCTCATTGCCGTTAACACACAAACGTACCTTTACAATATTTTGGAAATTTATATAATTTCTGTTATTCAGCGTGTCGAAGACACACATATAGAAGATAACTTTTTAAAAGTGTATTAAATATTTACATTCTTTAAACATCAATATTCACAGAGTTATTAAATTTTGCAAAACAAACAATTTTAGAACAGCCTTATATATTTCTTTTGTTTGCTATATAAAAGAAGTGGGCTGCTGAAATTTTACCTAAAACTGTAACGTAAAGTTCATTTGTCAAGGTCACAAAGCATATGAATGGGTTCAATGAATTTTAAAAAGACAAAACATACTGTTAGAAGGTGTCTTGTAATGCGACGCTGTGGCATCGAATGAAAAGGTCTGTGAATGTATGAATCAGTCAGTTGTAGTTGTATATGTTAGCTATACTTTGTTTTATCGAGCTAAGAAGGTAGAAATAAAAATACTTATACCAAATCACCGTAGTTTCACCTTGCACAACAATAACATTGGTATAATTACTTATTTTACCACTTTTAGACTAGAGAACCACAACTCTAACGACTTAATTTGTGATACCGGTTGGGCAGTACTATCGCGTGTACTTCTCGTTGACAGTCAAAGAAGAAGATGACAAAGACGAAGACCACGAAATGCTTTTTTTTTTTGGGCTGGATGAGCCACTGTTGGCCTTAGGGGCCTTTACAGTTGCGACGGGCATGAGGTGGCCTGGCGCACGAGGCGCCTAGCCTGAACCTCGGCGTACTATTATTACGCGTTATGGTGACTAAGCTCGAGGGCTCTCGGGGGAGCCTCGGCTCGGGCCGTCACGCAATTATTATTACCGGTTTGGGAGGCCGCCAAGCTCTTAGGGCGCTTTGGCGGACGCTCCATGGAGTGATCAGGCTCAAGGGGACCTCGGCTTGGGCTGTCACTCAGCACGCGTTTAGCATTCCGATTCGAGGGTGCCCGATAGGGCCGGACCTCGGCTCGATCGGTAGCTGTTATCTGACTGGGGGGATCTCTAGAGCTATCATTACTAACACTTCGTAAAGCGTTGGCGCTGGGAGAAGAAGTGGCGGAAGAAACTCCAGCAACGCTTCTATCTTGAACTGGGGAGAACCTGCCAGGTACGTGGCGGAAACTAGTATATGTTTGCCGCACTCGCCGGCGAGTGCGGTGTGTATTGGTGTGTTTGCGTAGTTTTTTAATCCTTTCGATGGCGATAGTCGTCTCATCGTCAGGGAAGTCGAGAACGTGTCGTGGTCTACGGTGATTGCGGCGGAACGTACCTAGCGGCATGGGTCTGTAGGTGGCGACACCTACGATTAGCGGGTTGGGATACGCGGCGGCGGAATTAAAGTATCGGCGCGACGCAGACTTCAGGAAATGAGTGATGGTGGGCAACTCTAAACCGACATGTAGGTCGATGTTGCGCATGAACCAGGGTGCTCCCGTGGCTCTGCGCAAGAATTGATTTTGGATGACCTGAAGCTGGAGTAGTTGCTTTGGAGCAATGTGTGCGAAAACCGGACTCGCGTACGTCATAATAGGGCGAACTACTGCCTTATATAAGGTCACCTTTTGACGTTTTGTTGAGGAGGGGATGGAGGCGACCGAGTACGAAGTCCGCCCGGTTCTTGATCCGAGTCACGTGCTGGCTGAATTTAAGTTGGGAGTCGAGGACGACACCTAAATATTTGACTTTGTTCACCCATGGTACTGGACTATCCATGAGTTTACCGGGGGGTGGTTTAGGTATGTTTTTGTGTGAAAAAAGGACGGCCGCGCTCTTGACGGGATTGATTTCGATTCTACATTGCCGAAACCAGTCACCGATGGTGATGGCTACAGCTTGGAGGCGTCGATGGATTATTTCGAGTGTTCTGCCTGTGGTATAAAGACAGGTGTGAAAAGGATGAAATTCTACATCCTTGACACGCGGCATGTCATTGGTGTAGAGTGTAAACAGGACTGGGCCCAACACCGACCCTTGGGGCACCCCGGCTCGAATGGGATGCGTTGTCGAACACACGCCCTCGACGCGATAGCGAAAGGTCCGATTACTTAAAAAGTCTCGTATTATGCATAGGAGACGGTCGGGCACACCGAACCCGTATAACTTTTATACGAGCCCGTTGTGCCAGGCTTTATCCAACGCCTTGGCCACGTCCAGGAAGAGTGCACCGGTGTTGAGCCCGCGTTGGCGTTTGGCTAGAATATGCTCCGTGATGCGGTCCACTTGATGGGTACATGAGTGTTTGGCTCTAAATCCAAACTGTTCTGGGATGGGGGAGGTGGGATTTAGTGTCCATAAGGGATTTTAGGCGGGCTATTATTAGTCTTTCAAAGATCTTCCCAAAAGTTTTGAGAAGACTTATTGGACGATATGAGGTTGGGAGTGTGGCTGGTTTGGAGGGTTTGAGGAACCCTATGACATCAGCTTCCTTCCATTCCGATGGGAAGAAGCCTTCGGTTAAAGCCGCTTTGTAAATTATTATTAGTATCTGAAGGATGCTAGTAGGAAGGAGTTTGGTCACCTTATTCGTGATGCCATCTGAGCCAGGCGCTTTGCGTGGGCGTAGTTTTTTAATGGTTTCTACTAGTTCTAAGCACGTGATCGGGAGAATGGGATCGCAAAGTGGCTCTAAGGCTTTCCTTTCAACCTCTTCGTCCACCTTACGGAGGTGTTCGGGGCTGACCGGTAGCAGACTAGAGGAGCATTGAGACTCTAGACTGTCAGCCAGGCATTCGGCTTTTTCTTCGTCCAGCATTGCTGGCGTTCCTATCGGGCTGACTAGTGGTGGCATCTTTGTAGTGGCAATACCCTTGAGGGATTTGGGAAGTTTCCAAAAGGCTTGGTGGGACGGTTTAATTGAAGTTAGGGTGGAGTCCCATCGTTCGTTTCGTGAGTTCGCTATGCGTGTTTTGACCTCACGCTGCAATTTACGAAGCAGTCTACGATTCGAGTCGGAGGGATATCTATCGTAGGCACGTGTGGCCCCATTCTTGCGTCTTAGTAAGTCGCGCACATCGTCTGGCAGGGCCCAGCGATGGTGCTCCATCGCTGGGACCTGTCTCGAGAATTGCTCGACGACGGTGTTGACGTGGCTCGTTTGGGCTCGAATTGCGGTCTCTGTGTCCTGTTTGTTATTAAGTTGGTCGGGGATTGATTCTAATAGCGGAGGATTGGGCTCGTTAAATCTAGTTTTTACTTTATGCCAACTAATGACTGTTTTGGTTTGGGGAGCGGCTATTGCTGAGGGCCCTAGCCGAAGAAGAACTGGCCGGTGATCAGAGTGAAGCTCATGTATCACTTCCCTTTCGCGCATGGTCAGATTGATGTTTTTGACAACTGCAATATCAAGCACGTCCGATGTCTGTCCCTCTATGTAGGGAAAGTGCGTATGTTCGACAGGGGCTACGACTTCAAAGTCGAGCCTGTCGGATAGGTGCGAAATGCTTCAGTGCAGCTTCATTTATACCTCATAGAATGACACTTCTTTTAGTGTTGCCAACGATCTCACGTAACGACTTCTTTTAATGTTGCCAACATATAGGTGTTACAAATTTTGTTTCTTTTTTATTTAATTAATTTGTTTGAAATTATTTCTTATTATGGATTTTGTTTAATTTTATGTTTTTTATAATTATTGGCAAGTAGCGTTAGACTTGTGTTCATTTATTGCGCGGTTGTAACGACACGTTGTATAATTTTTTGGTATATAATTTCAGCCGTGGGTTAACCTGTAGACCTGTAGTGTCCAGGGCCCGACTATTTATTCAATATATTATGAAGGATAGCATCGTGAGGAAACCTTAAAATAATTTGAACAATTTAGTTTGCCCTTAGTCTGCTAAGCACAAATATAATTATTGGCGCATTATTGCCAATTCTTCTTTTGACATGGCAATAATCTGCCAATAGCTATATTATATTTAATTTTCTCCATAATTTTTAAGAAACGTTACAATCTCTTTTCTGTCGACGAAGGCTGCTTGACTCCACGTTTCTGTATAAACTTGTTAATGGGCAAATTGAAGATACATACTTAATTTCTTAGTTAAACTTGTCTATGCCTAGAGGATTGCCAAGACCATTGAAATATACTCCATCTTATCTCTTAGCCTTTGAACGAGCAATATATATATATATATATATATATAATCGGAATCTCGGAAACGGCTCCAGCGATTTTCATGAACTTTAGTATGTGCGTAGATTCGGGGGTGAAATTTCATTTTTATAAAATGTCCTTTTATTCCTGTTTTCA